TACTTGACTCTGATGCATACCATAATCCTAATTGATCCCCAACATTACATGGAGCCTACACACTCACGATTGCAACTTCTACATCTTCTTGCTCCATCTCTTTGATAAAGCAAAGAAATTTGCAACATAATCGAGCTTGACACCATAAATATGTTTTTGTCCCATAATGAAAACAGTCCCCCTAAACTTCCGTGAGCCTCTGCTTTCTTAACAAAAACATCGATCTTCCATATTCTGCCAATATCTTCTCTCGACCAAGACGATTCTTTTGGTTTTATAGAACCATCTCAACTTTCTGCACTAACAATAAACTCCTAAACGCGTTAATCTTCACACCCACCCCAACCTCCTCGCGATCCAGGTAAGGAATCCCAAGCTCTCTACACTCACCCGAAAATCCCCCTCCCCTGCACTCTTTAAACTGCTTTCAATAAAGCCAGATCCCTCACCGCCTCACTTTCTTCCCCTACTATTTCTATACCCAAACTCATCCCTAAATTCAAAGCTTTCCTCGCCTCTCTCGTTAGCAACTTCCATCGATTCATCATATCCGAATCGGATAATGATCGTCCTGATAGACCTGGAGATGCACTTCTTCTTAGGACTTCCTTTCCCTTTTTGTAGCATGATCTCACTTCTTCTCGATTGTGCTCAACACCTTGTCTTGAAATCTTAAGACTTTTCGGGAAGAAAACTTCAACGTGCCACGTCAGTTTTTCTAACGACAATGACCACAACGGAAGAAAATAAAAGTTTAATGATTTTAATGCAATTTATAAAATTTCAGTTACCAAATTGAAACAATCTAAAAACTCAATGATTATAAAGAAGATGAGAAATATTAAAGCAGATGAGAAACTTTTTCATAAACATTTAACTGAAGTGCCCACGATCATGAGCTTTTATTATAAGAAAAGCTAGTCACCCCATAGTGTGGGAGACAAATTGACATTTATTCTTCAGCATTTCAGCTACGGCGATGGTCGATTAGACCCTGTCGCGAGATGGAAAATCACACCTCCTAGGCTGCATATCACATTTAGACATGATTTTCTCAGCAGCCTCAAACAGCTCTTGCATCTCTTCTCTTCCCATCTGTCCTTTCATCTGTTGCATGGCCGCATGTTTTAGGCCGGGGCATCGGCATTGGTTATCCAGCTTCTCTAGCTGCCAGCACCACGAGTCGAGGTGCCTGCTGCATTGTCTATTGCACCTGCTGCTGCTGCTGCTACAACTGCACTTGAGATGGTCTTGCTCCCTTATCTGCTCTTGGCAGCTGCTCTGTGATCGCCTTGACGGCCTCCATGTGTCCTCCTCGTCAACCGCCACGGTTGTGATCGAAACATGGGCCACGAAAAAACCGAGGGCGAAGGTGGCTAAGTAGACTGCGAGCTTTGCCATTGTTGTTTGTTGAATTACAGGTAAGTGGGATATATATTTGGTTATAGGTTTTGATGGTGAGAAACAGGGTGCGGAGTGATGGCTATTTACGCGGGAGCTTGAACCTTTGCTTAGAACGGTGGAAGTAACACGTTGTTTAATCTTTGCACGCAAAAATGGACATATTTTGTTCGTCTTGTTATGCGAATGCCTTTCTGGAATCTGCAGAAATTTGTAATCACAAATTTTAAGTTGATTTTAATGCGTTTCTCAACCATGTTCATTGTGATTTTACGTTAACCTTCTTAGTATTCTATCTTTTTTATATGATAATATACTTTAGGATTATAGCTAACCCTCCCTTTGCAATCATCTTTTTGAGACAAAATGAATTTGTTAAGATATTAGTTTTTGGGCTGTGGAGGTATAAATTTCCTTGACATATAAGCGACTCTCGAATTCGACTTTGATTCAGGTATAAAATGTAAACATGATTTATTGATATCCGATCATATCTAACTTAAAATGACTTATGGTGATTTCATCTTTTGATGAGCAAACCTAAAAATGATCTCAACAAAAACTAAATACTAAAACTTTTTAATACATCATTTTCAACCTCATATCAATTTGAAATCAAACTATGTTAATGTTCTGGTCAAATGAAATCTCTTTACGATTGAGATTGGCTAATGATCACTATGTTCATCAAAAAATTTATACGTGTGATGATTGTCAATTTGGAACCTTAGAATTTTTTTGGGAAGATGACTTATCATGCCACGTCATTCTTTATTAACGATGACTAACAACAATGACCATAATAAAAGCAAATTAAAAGTTTAATGATTGTAATGCAATTTTAAAAAAATTAGTGACTAAAGAAAATCTCCTAAAAGTGCAAAGATCATAAGGTGTAATTTACCCTAAAGTTTATAGCGACGCTTTTGGGCATGACGATCATCGATCCTAAAGTTTTGTTTTATGATTTGACATTGAATGTCAGGGTATGAGCATTTCCTAGAGCTGTAATTTACGATTTGACATTGAATATCAGATGTGAGTATTCAATGTCAAATAATTTAGAATTATCTTTGATTATATATTATCTTGTTTTTTTTTTGGATAAGTAAATATTTATTCATTCAAAAAGGAGCAGTAAGCTGCTACAAAGAACAATATAACACTAAGACAAATCCGAATCTAGAAATAGCCTCCTATTTACATCATCAATCAAGTTCATACTGTATCTATACAATTTAATTCTTATAGATTATCTAATTTTATGTACAATTGCATCAACCGAACGATTCACACCTCTGAATAGCCTATGATTACGTTCCTCCCAAAGAAAATAGACAAAACCAATCCAAGCAAGCTTTAGGATACGAACAAGAAGGGATTTCCCCCTCAAATTCAAGGCCAGCCAGTGCAAAGTATCATCCCAACAGATAATCGACAGGTCATGAAGACCACAAGTCTGCAAGACTACATCCCAAACCTCTCGGGCGAAAGAACATTCCAAAAACAAGTGATTCCGAGATTCCAACTCAACTCCACACAGACCACAGATTATAAGATTATAATATGTTGCATATTTGAATCACAATTTATTTCTAATAATCATATAAAGAAAGTCCAAAATATTAGTATTTTGCTATTCATTCATTGATGCTAATCCCATAAACTAGCTGTAACCGAAATGAAAGATTGAAGATATCATTTCCTTCAATCACATTAGAATGTTGAATGCATGGGATCCATGCACGAAACGCAGTGAAAAGGATTAAGTTTTAAGCATGATTAAGAATACAAAACAATACTCCTAAATTACAACAAACACACTAATTAATTCAGTAATCAAACTCCACAGACTAAAGAAAACAAATTTGAGCAAAATCCCAGAATGTTCTTCACTGGCTCGTCGAGTATCTTGTGTTCCAATACTTCTCAATTTCCTCAGCTCTTCTTCCTGGAATTCTCCCAGCAATCAAACTCCACCTGATACATACAAATGTTAAAGATAAACTCTCATGCGTTATGAAAATATTTACAAGATTAATTTACCTTTCTCCAACCAAAGTGAACATCCTGATTATCAGCGTTTCCTCATCATCTGAGAACTCCAGTTCAGAATCTTGTTTACTGTGCTCTTCTGGTGGGGAAAAAAGTAACGAAGAAGAAGAAGAAAATCCCAACAGTAATGAAATATAAAAACACGGCTTAGGGTTCTTACCTATGGTGTCCATGGATGCATTTTCACTAGAAGAATGTTCTGATTCAGCCATTAATAATTCCAGTCGAAGAAGTTGTAGCAGAAGAGAAACTATGAGTTTGGGCATGTTGAGGCAGGCATTTAAATACTGTTTACAGTGACTAAAGAGAGAGAAAAACATTCTCCTGCATGTTAGTTGGGGAAAAAGAATGTTAGTTGGGCAAATAGAGTATATATGGAGTTTGGTGATGGTATATGTTAGGTGGAAATGAAGAGTTAAATTACTGATAAAGATTTTTTGGACCAACACATGAACTTTAAGCGAAAAGGTTGTCCATCTCCAGTTGGAAAGATATATAAAAATTTTCATCTGCAATCTTCTGCAGATGATGCTCTTGGTTCAACTGATATTACTGCTCGGACTTGAATTTTATTAGTCATCGAATATTCAATCAAATGAATCAATCTTGTACTTTATTTTCAGAGAAGATCCAGTTGATTAAACTTTTGATTTGTGTCTTATTTGAATTCACATTCCATTAGCACCCATTAAGCTTGAAAGTACCTGAAATCAACACCCAACGCATGAAATTCTAAAGATAAACAATGATTGTTGGGGGTACCAGAAATGCAGTGTTGTACTAATAAAACTATGCATCAGGAGTCGGGGCCGAGGACCCACCATAATAAACATGCTTGCATTGCAGGAAAAAAAGAGTTGTTTTTCTTTTTTGGGTTCAGAAAAAAAGGTGAGTGGCTCACATGACATCAATGTGTACATGATAGCCATATGCTACTTGTATTTATTTATTTTTGTTAGAACCCAACAAAAAACAAATGATTAAGGTCATTAAATTTGTAGACAGTTTGCACTAGTAAAATTGAAAGACTTCCATTTTAGTCACCACTATTAAAGAATACTTTCATTTAGGCCACTATGCCGTTATTCATTAAATCACTAATTGCATCTGAGTCAGCTCAGTTATGTCACTTTTGTGATCTTGTATAAAACGGAAGCGTTCACGAGGAAGAAGACGATGGAACGAGAAAGATACAGAGCTAACATGGGTAGAAAGGGTTCGAGACTTCTAGCCCACTCAATCATCTTAAGGGGTATTTATAGTGGTTTTTAGTGTGTGTCGGTTATAGGGTCATCATAACTATTTATAGATCGACAGACTAGGTAAATCTAATACTTGGATTTCTGTTTGGATTTTATTCTAGAGCGTCACATAAGTTTGCCAGGAAAGTGTTATTAGATATGGCACGTGTGATCACCGTCTTACTATAAAAATGAGATAAATGGTTTTTGTTGAAGAGAAAAATTAAACTCGAGACATTTGCTGAGGGGTCGAACGTATGACCACAAAATCACTTTAGGAGAAAATATAAATTAAAACCTTACATGCTTACAGATCCCAACAAGGCAGTTTACATACACGAGAGAGGAAGGAATAGAGCCAGAACTGCAGATCACAGTAAGGCATTTTGCATAACAAGAACAAAATATGTCCATTTTTGCATGCAAAGATTAAACAACGTGTTACTTCCCCATTCCACGTATTTTCCATGCAAAGGTTCAAGCTCCCCAATAAATAGCCTTCACTCCCCACCCTGCTTCTCACCATCAAAACCCTATAACCAAATATATATCCCACTTACACCAGTAATTCAACAAAGGCAAAGCCAGCAGTCTACTTGTCCCCTTCGCCCTCGTTTTGTTCGTGGCTCATGCTTCGATCACAACCGTGACGGTCGACGAGGAGGACACATGGAGGCCGTCTAGGCGATCACAGAGCAGCTGCCAAGAGCAGATAAGGGAGCAAGACCATCTCAAGGACACCCAGAAATACATGGAGGAAGAGTGCGGTTGTAGCAGCAGCAGCAGGGGCAATAGACAATGCAGCAGGCACCTCGACTCCTGTTGCTGGCAGCTAGGGAAGCTGGATAACCAATGCCGATACCCCGGCCTAAAACATGCGGCCATGCAACAGATGAAAGGACAGATGGGAAGAGAAGAGATGCAAGAGCTGTATGAGGCTGCTGAGAAAATCATGTCTAAATGTGATATGCAGCCTAGGAGGTGTGATTTTTGTCGCAACCGTCTTTCAGTTGGGCCCCGAAATTGGGTTTCGACTTGAAAAATGTGGATTGGGAGTCACCACCGATCATTTATTTAAAAATAAATGGGTTGATCAGATACCCTATTTCTTACATGATCTCCGTCTTACCAGAAATATATCGGGCTCGGGAGTCGGTTACGGTCAAGGAAGGATTAGCACCCTTGAACCGCCCTTTCGGTACTACGTAATTTCCAGTTGTCTTAATTAAGAAAAATAATAAGTTAAATTAAAAGGTAAAGTTTCGATCCTAATTACTTACCCTTGATTGATTTGAAAATATCCTTTAAAAAAATCGAGAAATATGTTAGATAAACAATGTAAAGAAAACAAATAAGATACAAGGGAAAAATAAAATAAATAAGTAAGATAAGAAAAAAAATAGTAAATAATAATTATATATAGTAATATTTGAAAAAAAGGAAAAAATATAAATATATATATATATATATATATATCAAAGTATTAATAAAATAAATAAGCTATATATATACACCAAATACTTAAAAATAAAAAAGCTACCCTCCCAATTCACCGAAAGTGGGGGCTTTAGTAAGAAATAAGACAAAAAATAGGCCCTCTAGGTTAGTAGTATATAATATAATGTTTAATAATAATAATGATAAAGACGCAAGGTTTTTTTTAAAAAAAAAATAATATAATAATAATGAATAAAAAAACGAAAATAATAAAAAATAATATAAATATATAAAGTTATAAGATATATTACATAAATAAAGAAATAATCAAATAAAATAATTAAGAATATATATATTTAATAATAGGTATATAAATAAACTATTAAAAGTATAAAAAATATATACGACTAGATAAAGATAATTACAATATATATATAGTAATATTAGACTTATAAGTAAAATATTAAAGAAATATATATATAATAATAAAATATAGTAAAAAAATAAATGAAAATAATTTAATATATATATATATATACATATAATAATAATAACATGAATAATAAAAATAAATGAATAAAATATCCATATAATATATAAAGAGATTAATATAGATTTTTAAAAAGCTCTTCCCCTCCTTTAACCGAAAATCAAACCGGTTTTTAAAAATAAGCCTCGGGGTAGATCTAGGTTCGAAACTTCGAAACCCCACCTATTTTGGTCATCGGCGCAACCCACGTTTTGGGTTATTCGAACCAAATCTCAAGAAAAATAACGTGCACATGCAAAAGAAAGAAAAAAGAAAATGCTACCTTTTATTTCCTTTTCAAATCCTTTACAATAGTTTTGCCTTTGTATCTTCCCGTGCTTTCCTCTATGTTTTGTGTGTAAATCGTGTGTTACAATGGTGAGTTACAATGGCTATTTATAGTGCTTGTGGATCCTATCTTTAGGAATTTAAATCTTACTAGAACTCTATCCTATTTTTAGGAGTTTGAATCCTAGCAAAATTTTATCCTATTTTTAGGAGTTTAAATCCTAGTAGGACGAAAATGTGTGTTGACAGCTGCCCCTCTTTGCCCATAGTCGTGTAACCGGGATAGGGCAAAGATTAAAAGACACACTTTTCGTTCAGTGGAGTTGAAAATTAACTCTGATGTTTCAATAACTCCCTGTCGAATTGAGTTACGGATGACTCCTCCATCGTGAAGTCGAGTTCATCTTGAAATGATATGAAATTGAAGCCGTAGTTCGGAATTTGAATCAGCACGTGGCTTCCCGTTACCCTTCGGTCTTCTTCTCGGTTTAAAGACCTTGGATCGGAATCGAACTCAGAAATCTTCATTGACAGATAGCTTTTTCTTGACTTAAGCTATGTTGTTTGAAAATGGTTGCTTGTCACTAAGGCACGGCTAACCCAGGTCATCTTCTCGACTTGAAAACCTCGACTGCAACTGGAAAGTAGTGCGATTGATGTGTCATCGAGCTGAATGGAGTCGATCTCGACAATTTTGATGGCAGATAATCCTTCTTTGAGTTGGATATCCTTCGTCGTGAAGTTGAAATCCAAGTAAGTAGCATTGTTCCGAGTCCAATATCCTCCGTCGTGAAGTTGAAATTGGCTCTGGAATCGGGAAATTGTTTGTTGACAACCAGTCGTCCCTTCGTTGTGAATTTGAACTTGTGTTGTCTCGAGTCCAATATCCTTCGCTGTGAAGTTAAAATTGACTCTGAATGAAATTTTGTTGACAAGCAGCGGTCCCTTCGTCGTGAAGTTGAACTCCAATGTGAGGCGTTGTTCCGAGGCCAATATCCTTCGCCGTGAAGTTGAAATTGACTCTGGAACTGGGAAATTGTTTGTCGACAGTCAGCCACCCCTTCGCTGTGAAGTTGAGCTTGTGCTGTCTTGGGTCCAATATCCTTCGCCGTGGAGTTGAGATTGGCTCCGAAATTGTTTTTTGACAGTCAGCTGCCCCTTCGCTGTGAAGTTGAGCTTGTGTTGTCTCGAGTGTCACGATATCCTCCGTCGTGGAGTTGAAATCGCGGATGTTTGGCTTCGAGCTAGACATCCTTCGTCGTGAAGTTGAAATCTATTCTCAAGCAAATTGTGTCGTTTCAAGAGAAACTGTCTCAAGGGAGACAAAATTTGTTTGAAGGAAAACATATTCAAAGATTTCGTTATATTGTTTTCAAAGTTTATGTTTGGAGAGAAACTGTCTCAAGGGAGACAAAATTCGTTTCAAGGGAAACTATCTCAAGCGAGATAAAATTCATTTCAAGGGAAATGTTTTCAATGTTTATGTTTCAAGAGAAACTGTCTCAAGGGAGACAAAATTTTCTGTTTCGAGGGAAACTATCTCAAGAGAGAGAAAAAATTATTTCGAGGGAAATGTTTTCAATGTTTATGTTTCAAGAGAAACTGTCTCAAGGGAGACAAAATTTTCTGTTTCGAGGGAAACTATCTCAGGAGAGAAAAAATTAATTTCAAGGGAAATGTTTTCAAGAGAAACTGTCTCAAGGGAGACAAAATTTTCTGTTTCGAGGGAAACTATCTTAAGCAAGATAAAATCTTCTTAAAAAAACAGCCTTGAGTGAAATGAAATGCCTTCTTTCGAGTGAAAATGGTCTCAAGCGAGACAAATCTTGCTTTAAGAAAAACAGTCTTGAGTGAAATAAATCTTCTTTCGAGAAAAACAGTCTCAAGTGAGACAAAGTATGTTTTAAGAAAAACAAATTTGAGTGAGATAATCATCTGCATTAAATGAGAATGTCTTAAGTGAGACAAAGTTTATATTGGAAATGTTGAATCTGGAGATGAATGTCGATCTTTTAATTTGTCGAGTTGGCTTTTAATCTCATCTTCTCCTGAAAGATCTGTAAAATGTATATGGATGTAATTATCCTGATGATGTATGCTTGATGTATGCCCAAATGAAATTTATTTGCTGTTGAATTTGCCCTCAATGGAGGAAAAATCAAGGTTTTTATTGCTCATGATGATGAATTCAAATATGCAAATTTCATGCGTCATGTATGTATGTGTTGATGTATATGTCGAGATGTGAGGGGAATGGTTGCGTGTGCAGTCTTCATTCTATCTCTGACTCAGTTTGTCTTCATTTCCACCAGGGTGTACTCTTGCAGTCCTCAAGAGAATTTTTCCTTCCCCTATCAAATTTTGCCCAAAAAATGGCTTCCTTTGCTTCAGCTTCGACCTTGAGCTTCGGAGCGATATTTGTTGAATTCCAAGATATTCTTCCAGAGAACTTATCTTGTTTGAAAATGTTTTTCTTCTTCTTATTTTCAAAATTTTGAAAATTATCGAAAGGAATTTTTGAAAATGTTACTTCTTTCTAGGTTTCACAATTGAAGCAAATCATAAAACATGAGTTCATTGAATATCAAAATAATCAAATGCTCTTTTAATCTTTGGTAGCTGCAAATCTTTGACAAATATCAAGATCGAAAAATTGGTTTAGAGGTGGGTTGGTTTCATCGATTTGGTTATCGTGAAGATCATGGCATGCCCCTCTTTCTTGATTTGGTATTTTGATCGGAGGCGAACAAAATGACACAACTAGCATAATCAATGGCTAGACCTTTCAGAACACTTTTATTTCAGTTCTCTGAAATCTTCCATTTGTTCAAGTTTTGTAAGCTCTTCTAACAAAGTAGTGCAGAAATATCGGTTTAAAAATGAAATCCTTGAGTGCTCGTGTGAAATTGACTATAACAGGTGTTTCTTAACTCCCTTAGTCCATCATTTAATTTGTCGTTATCTGGCTAGCCGAATCCATAAAGCCGGAGCGTTCAACCAATTGCTTTAGAGGGACAGCTTAATATTATAATATTTTTATCAGGTTTAACTGAAGGGTTCATCTCATCACAAAGTCTTCAGCCTGACAAAAGTAGTGGAGCAAACACCGAATTGCCAAGTGTCCTAGCAATGTAATGGTTTGAATGCAATCTATTCATAAAGCCAGGGCTTTTGAGTTTCCTCTATAACCAATTGCCTTAGTGGAATAGCTTAATATTATAATCACCTTTAATAGGCTTAACTGAAGGGTTCATCTCATCACAAAGTCTTCAACCTGACAAAAGTAGTGGAGCAAACATTGAATCGCCAAGTGTTCGAGCAATGTCATGGTTTGAATACGATCTATTCATAAAGCCAGGGCTTTTGAGTTTCCTCTATAACCAATTGCCTTAGTGGAATAGCTCATCTTTACAGATTTAATTTCTTAAGATTGTCAAGAAGAACCTGTTATAGTCTAGGTGTTTGTTGAAGGTCAAAAATTTCATCTTTAGAGCTCAATTTCCAAGCAACTAACTTAAACTAGATTTGCTTACTCGGCTATTCCATCTGTGAAGATCATTATCATCACTGAACGTCATAAACAAAGGTATAAACCGATTAGTTTTGCAATCTCATGTGCTAGTTGCCCCATTCTATTCGCTCTTAATACATGTATGAATGCCAAACCTTGGATGGACTCTTTATGAGAAGAGAAAACTTGGCTCGGTAAGAGAAAAATATGCAGTCT